TTTTTTAAAATATTTAACATAAACATAAATTAATTAAAGATTTATTATTCATCAACATTATATTTAATAATTTTAAACTTTATATTTTTTGAAAGAAAATTAAATTTATGATCAACAATTTTCATCTACAACTTTTTAAAAATTAAGTCATAATATTTATGATTGATATATTTAAATAAAATAATATCAGAATTTTAAAAATTATTTTTATTAAATTTTAATAAATATATTTCCATCTAATGTTTTTGTTTTAATATATTTAAGTCTCCATTAACAAAATAGAAAGGTGGGCCATGGCGGTGGATGCCCATCAATTTCCCATGCATTGGAAAATGAGAGGACTTCGCCAGCTGTCCACTTCTTCGTCGCTGAGCGCCCATTCTCTTATCAACTCTTATCCCTTGTGAAAGAAGATAAATATATTTAAGTAGTTTTTAAAATTAAATATTAAATATTTAAAATTCAAGAGTTTTAAATATCTCCATGTTTAATTATGAAGAAATTATTATATGAGTCCGGATGTAGAGTCGCGTCTGGACATGTGAGCGTACATATTATGTAGTGTACACTTACAGTCTAGATGCAATTCTGCGTCCAAACTCCGCACAAAATAATTTATCTTGATTTTGATATATTTAGAATGCAATCCATAGTATTATTTTGGTTTATTTAGAATTCGTAGATTTTGACGATTTTATAATACACGTAAACTCTTTATCTTATGACAACCCATCGCTACTCTTCGTCATCAGAACCCGACCGTCCTGGGTACCATCAACTAGTGGAGATGGCTATTCTGTTCGTGATCGTCGTCGCCACCAACGATCAGCCACAATTCTCGATCATCGATCAGCATTAGTGATCGTCGGCCACCAACCAACGTCATATCTGAAAAAAATCATAGAATATGTATTTAAACTGAAGAAATAGAAAAAATAAAATAAAATTAAGTTAATAACTTCATTATTTCTAAATATTTATATATTTTTGAACATATCATAGTACAATTATTTGGAAAAAAATATAGCCACAAATCGCTGCTTCCAACGCCTGGATCGTCGCAATTGTCGTTAAATCTGTTCACAAATAGCAAACACAATGATCCTCCATTCAAATAATGCCACGAAAGATAAATTATTTCGACAAGACAGCCTGAAGAAGCAAGTAGAGTCGCAGCACGTGGACAATACCGATAAGACCCGCGCCAAAAAAAAAATTTCCGATCTATGCAATCTTTGATTTTTGTTTTCTTTTTGATTTCGGAAAAAAATCGAAATTAATATCAAATTTATTACGAAATTAGATAATCTGTAAAATAAGTAAAATTTATGTTTTAAAAGAGAATTTGCATTTCATTTTCTAGTTCTGCAAGTCTTCAGCGAGAGGTTCTGTTGCTCGGCTTCTGCTCTTCTGCTCCTTCGTTTGGGGGCAAATCGATAGGGAGAAGAAAATTACAAGTTTGTTTCAATTACAGTTGATTCGAGTTCGGAAGTATGTCCTTCAATCCTTCGCTGCGAGATTTTTAATTTTTATTTGCATTTTCTGTTAAGTGCAAGTACTGAAACGTTCTAATCTAATTTTTGCTGATTCTAATTGATTGATGGATCATTCTTTTGCTATTCCTTGGTTGTTTTGTTTAGATTGTTGAGTTCGTGATGGCATTTGAATGCTTTTGAGTGAATGGATGGAGAGAGAGAGAGAGAGAGAGAGAGAGAGAGAGAGAGAGAGAGAGAGAGAGAGAGAATCGCTTGAATTCTTTATGTTTCTTTCTGAATTTATGAACTGATACCAAGCAGACTTATTAAATCAGCTCTTTCAGGCCGTCCCTAGTGACCACTCAAGTGGGCAACTCTCTCTTTCTGAATCTACGTCTGTGTTCTTTGCTGGGGCGCTAATGTGCTTTCTTTTTCTTGTTGAGTAACTAGAATAAGATCGAATCCTGGTTTAGGTTTCTTGTGCAGTAGTGCTTAGTTTTTAGAATTACTGGAAAAAGTGTGACTCTGCTGTATTATATATTTTATGTAATGGGAATTTTTTTTTTTTTTACTTTTCCTTAGCCTTCATAGTTATTGATGGATGCATATAGCTAATTTTTATTATGTGGGTGAAGAAAGTGGTAGTCGCAACTCAAATATTCTAAAATATAGTTAGCTCTCGGATAGGGATCTTCACTGAGGAGCTTGCTTCTATTGGCCTGATATGCTGACCTTCACAAATTTGTTTAAATTCATCTTCTGAATGGCTATCATTGCGGCACCATGAGTAATGATGTTGAAGATAATCTATTGAAAAATAGACTTTTGTTGTTTGGACGTTTATAATAAAGGCTAGAAGATGCATCGATAAGATGCATTCATTAATTTAATCTTAAAGGATTTAAAAAAAAGAACTGCTTAAACCATTTAACAGCTCATCTTAGGCTTCGTTTGGTTCTTCCTCTCCTATAGAAGCGTCCCATCCAAACAAAGAAAAAAAATAATTTCGCCGTTTCTAAACAGAAAAGATAAAAAAACGCCGAAACAAATGAGGCCTAATACTCAATGGGAAGAAACTGAGAATAATTATTCATAAAGATGACCGAAAATGATTAGGATGAGGTTAATGATGGTGGTGATTATGATATTCTTCGTTAAGATTGCCAACAATTAATGTAACTGAGGTTGTATTTTATGAATTTTGAGATCTGTACTTAAATATATCGTGTTCTTGCAGCTGAAAATTCCCTTCAAATGAGTCAGTTATTTGTTTGTTGGTATGTTTTTTACAATAAGGAAATCAATATTAAAATACTTTTTTTTTTGTAGAATTTACAGATATTGTCGCACATCTCTAGTTTACCCCACCTGCAATCAAACTCCTAACCGAGTTGCTTATGTTGTGGCTTTTTAGTTCTATATGTATGATGGTCTGATTGTTTTGATTTTTACGAAAACTCAAGAAACTTTTTTTTTTTTGCTTTTGACAAGTTTAGATTGTAAAAATTTGGACTATTTCTCGATTTATGCATGTCATCCTTGCGCATGGGCCATGCTAATCTTCTCTGTATCGTTCCAATTTTATCGGACCAAAACTCAAGAAACTTGATAACTAATGAACATGATTTTGTCAAGAAAAATGTAACCTCTTGTGTCTTGTTGATTGAGCTTTCGAATATGACAACAAGCTTAAGTATGAACATCCTTGGTTGGATAACTAATTTTAACACATTTTCATGTAAATCTTGCTTGTATAGGTACTTGCTTGTTTGAAGAACATGAGCAATACTTTACGTGCAGTTCATCAGCAAACTCTATGTAGGTCATTTTTATTGGAAAATCAGAGCAATAACCATCCATGGATCTCCTCAAGTCTTTCATATAGATTGCTTTCTTATTCAAAAAATGATCAAGCGTGCCCACATAACCAGGGGCCCATACTTTCTACCAGATTTCTTGGGAACAGTCTAAGTGCTTGGAAAACAAAATCCCAACAAGAAATGCGTAGGGCTGCTTATATGTTTCCCCATGCTGTTTTGGTCACTGATTCTTCTCCACAGGTGATTTTTTCCTTTACTTTTCTCTTTATTGTTTGTTCTTATACGCTACTTTAACCACGCATAACTTTAACATCTGATATTTTTCTCAAGTTCTATTACTTTAATGTGATTGAGTCTTCAACCTTTATCTTCTCAGCCAGAAAGAATTCTCATCCTTGCCTATAAGATTAAATTAGATTAAATGCATTTCTTCTACAATCACACAAATCCAAGTTGTGTTATTTTTAGCAGAGATGTTATCAAAACGTTTCTGCAAAATTAAACCATAGGCTTGGATTATTTCATGGAAAGACGCAGCTACTTTATTTTATTTCTTTTTATTTTAAGCTGCTATGAATGGGATTGAGTACCTACAAAATTCTGAAGCATGAAGGAGATTTGCCCAGAATGCTACTCCTTGCCCTGGTTTTTCTCATTCTTTGACTGTCAGCTTCTTCAATTCATCTCAATTAATTCTGCTTAAATTTCAGCATTGACTGCATTTTCCTATGATGCTTTAGAGTTAATCTTATTACCGCTATTCGCTGAACCATTTGTTTTTAACTGATGCATCATTAGCTGATTTTCTTCCACTCGTTTTATACTAGGCTGGTTTAATGCTTTAACTTGTTGCTTCATTCAGTAAGCCTGTGTTTTGATGAAAAATCAATCTTACCCATCCAATATGTGCAGTCACTGTGTAAAACAATAGGTAGGTCTATGCAGCTTAAGAGTATTTTCTGGAACATTCTTTGTTCATTTCTTCAATTATGAAAATGTTGAAATTTGAGACATTTTTGAATTTGTTAACTGATAAACTAAATAGCCTGTCACTGTAACACCCCACGATACCTCTTAAAGTAACCTAGAGTGTCATGAAAATGAACATAACTTCAATCTTTATCTTTATCATTTCCTCATCAATGTCATAGTTTAATAAAGGCAACCATCTGCCGATTACATTTACTAAATATATGAAAGCATCTAATTAATCCAAATTGCATCAAATAATATGTACAGAGTAGGGGTGTAAACGAGTGGAGTCGAGTCGAGTATTTGCCTTATCAAGCCTGGCTCGTTTAATCCTTAATGAGCTTGAGCTCGAGATTGAGCTCAAGATCATCTCGTTTAGAAAATATCAAGCTCGAGCTCGTTTGAGAAGCACCAATGCATGTGATGAAGCTCGATAAGCTCGGCTCGTGAGCTCCTTAACAAGTCGAGTTCGAGCCGGCTCACGAGCCGGCTCGGCTCACTTACACCCCTAGTACAGAGCGCCTAAGAGAAACCAAAAGAGAATACAACACTTAATAGTCTACATACTTCAAATATGGACTCACAAACAATGCTAAACAGAAGAACATAAATTGAAATAAACTTGAACATATTCTACTTCAAGTATTTCCTTTCATTTCCCCTTAACAACAACCATTATAAAATAACTGGTGAACTATGAGGATCAATAAGTTATGCACATTAAATAATAATTAAATTGCATGATGATAAAACTTACAACATTGAAATCATAATTGAATCAAACTGGTCATTATTTATAAAACAACATAAAATCATATTTAGCATCATTCATTATTTCCTTTGAAGTCTATATTTAATATCAATATTAGTCTTTTAAAGAATGGGTTAAATTTTCATAAGAATGTTCAATAGAGATCATGTGAACCTGACATTATCGTCATTAAACTATATAGAAGTTCCTTTTAGCTCTTTAGAGGTTCCTTTTGTCTCACTTGTTATACATGTATCATGTCTGAGATTCCTTTTACCTCTTAAGGGGTACTTTTTGCCCCACCTACAATTTCATACATCATACCTGGGGAACCTTTTGCCCCACCCGCAATTGTAAGTTTCATATCAATTTATAGTCAATTTATACTAATTTGTATTCAATAAACTTCACATATTCATAGTTTATACTTTTATACACAACATAACTGTTATATTGTTTGCATAAATAGACCATATGCAATATATTAATAATTGTACTTTTCAAAATGTTTCCAACTAGAAAAATCTTTAAATAAACATAATAACTCTTATTTGAAACTCTCATGATTCAAATATACAAAAGGTCATTCATACATGAAATCTTAGTTATGAACATCTTTTAGCAAAATAATTAACATTAATGCACTTTTCCCTTTAATTCAATCAATTACAAGTATACATGTATAGAATTAACAACATATTCCTTTTAAAATTTAATTTGCATTACTTACATCCTTGAAGATTTGATGAGGACATTAGTTGGAAAGTCTACCGTCGATGTGGCCGTAGATCTATGGCCACGATTTACTCGATGTATTTCTGATTTTAGTATTGTCATTTTATTTTGATGTATTTTATTTCTGCACCTTCTCTTTTTACCCTTGCTTGAGGGATTGAGTCATGTAGCCCCTTGAGGGTATTTGAGTCCTTTTATTTTATGTCATTGTATTAGGCTATTTATAGCCTTCATCTTGTACTTTTGATGGGTAATGAATGATATGAAAAATTTTTCCTGCATTTTTCTTCTTGAAGCTTTTGTGAGAGCTTGAGAGAGAGTTTGTGAGTTTGGTGGAGCCTAGGAGAGGCCACCCGTCGTACCCAACAGTCACCTTCGGTGGCTCTTGGTTTATCTCCCTTCTTCCTTTTTCTTCTACCCACATCCACCGCCGGCCATTCCCCACCACCAACCACCACCTCCTAACCGCACCCACCCAAGCCCAACCTCACCATATCATCAAGAACCCCCACTGTCCCTTCATCCCGCCGGCCTCCACCTTAATCGCCGGCCTCCCCTTTTCCCCACTGCCATCCCCTCCATCAATTACCGGTCCCTTCTTGCCTTCTCCACAATTTTTGAATTTCAAAATTCAAAGTGGAAGTTTCCAAATTTGTCCAACGCCAAATTAGGAAAGTTTCAATGAGGTTTCAAATTTCAAATTTGAATTTGAGCGGATTAATTTTCATCATTAATTAGTCGGAGCGGATTTGGAAACGCATAACTCCTTTTCCCCTAACCCCCCACTCCCTCTCTCCATGCCGCCGGCCTCCCACATGGTCCCCCCTCCTTTAATGCTCCATTAAAGCTCCTAATTACATGGTTTTGAAAATTCAAATCTCAGATTTTTCCCTTCACTTTCACTTAAAATATGAGAATAATTTTTGGTATGGAGATATAATATTATTTCTTCATCCCATCTAGTCCTTGCCTAACCCTAGCCTCCTCCTCCCTCCCACCGTCACCTCCTTCCCTCTCTCTCTCTCTCTCTCTCGTGCATTCTCTCTTTACATGATATTGATTTATGGTCGACTCAAGGTGTGATTCCGATCTTGCATCCAACGGTCAAGGCATCGTGGATCTTCTCCACTTTCCGTCGTCGGCGTAATTTCAATCCTTGACGGATCCCTAGAGATTTCTTCTTCCCGTAGTGCTACGTATCTCTACGTATTTGATTGACGACTAGCCTTAATCGAAAGTTCTCTCTCGTTATCGAGAGAGGTAATTAACTATAGGGGCTTGCGCCCGTAGGAAACCAGAACTCAGATCATAAAGTCCTCATAAAGTGAGGGCGAAATCTCTGGGTAGTGTCTTATCTACAAACCCATCTGCCTTCCAAAATTTACCTCGGAACTTAGTTCGTTAAAACTCCCTCGTCGAATAAGAAAAGCGAGTGGAGGCCGGGGCCGAATTTTCGGAGCCCACACCATCACCCCCAATATTTGTTACAATCTTTCAAATGAATTTAATTTCATAATACTTCAAATACCTGCAATGTGCCGATCCTATGCCTGCAATGTGCCGATTCTTTGCTTCACTGCACTGTCCTCCCCAATTTTTCCTTCAACCGAAATTCCTCTCCACAGCATTACACTGTGCCGTGCTTTTACTCTATATAACAATTTCTCAACAGTCGTGTAAAAGATCGTATGGAAGAGAGGGTAGAATACGGGAACTGCTATATGTTCCTATTTAACAATTTCTCATTCAACTCCTTAATCAACAGTCACCTGAATGGCAATGATTGCATGCTTTAAAATGCTTGATTTCATCTAATGTATTCATTAATATTAGCTAGGGCATAGTAGTGCTAATGCTGAAATTAATTAAATAATTCACAGTAGTTAATTAACTATTACATAATTAACAGTAGTTAATTAACTGTTAAATAATCAACATTAGTTAGTTAACTGTTAATACAAATTTAAAAGTAATTATAATTTAAACTTCAAAAGAAATTACGTTTGTTGAAAATTTTCATAGAAATTTTACATTTCTGGTTATAATTCAATTAAGCAAATTATTAAAATTTTACTTGAAATTTTTTAGTATTATAGTTATGATGCGGAGCATTTTAGTTTAAATCGTTCCTTAGTCATATGTTATCTAGTTTGTTACAAGCTTTCTAGAATCTTCTAGGATTCTCTAGTTTTTCTTACTTTAGTATTATAAATAGGGAATGTGTAAGAGGAAAGGATTATTGAATGATATATTTTACTCCTTGAAGCTTTTTGAAGCTTTCTCCTTCTTCTTCCCTGGATTGGGAATCCCAAATCCTTCTTGCAGGTCGCATCTTCCGACGATCCACTACATCAAGTTACCACCTAGCAAATCTCAAAAATGGAGTGCAACTTGAAGCTCCAAACACAAAACCTTCTATCCTTTGATGAAGATCCATGAGAAAGTTGTTGCTATCTTTTTGTCTATTTCTGACATAGACAGGTATGTGTCGTCACCAATTAAGACCAAAAAAATTGCATTATGTGCCCATCTTACAATAAAGACTCATGTACTAACCCATTCGAATAAATCTGCGTTTCATCCCTTAATATATAGATTTTAAGCACAATGAGACCAGTATGTGCCTGAAAAATCATACGGTATGCAAAACTACTTTTCATCTTATTTTCCTTTTGGCTGATGGTTTATATTGTTCCTATTTTTTTCTTTTATGACATAGAGACTTGAAATCATTTTGCAAAAGATTAAGTTTGCTGTGTTTATCCACCTTGGATAAATTGGACATTTGTATATATACAGACTTCTTAAACATAAGTTGTGGTAGTGCCAAATAGTCCTCAATTTGCCATTTCATCCTAAAACTTTTCCCTGTTCTTTCAAGATCCCCTCATTCTTCAACCCATTGCTTCCAATACAAAGTATTTTATCAAATAATTTTCTTCCAAAATCACTCATTGAAAGTACAATATGTTAATATTACGGTGATTCCATCAATATAGTGAGTTTTGGTACCTTCTTCAGTTGTTTCATTTCATAGTTTTGTTTTCTTGTTTATTTATGGATGTAATTTGTGTATGATGATAGTGCCTATGAGTGTGGGATGTGCTCTAGTGTTTTGATTACCTTAATGGTTTTAGTTTTTATTACAGTTATTTCAATTTAGTTTTTGTTGGATTCCCAAGTTCAACACGTTCGATTCCTTGTTCTTTTTTAACCTCTGATTTGGAGAGTTTTGTTATTGTTCTTGGTTGCCCTAGACGCCGTGCTTTTGTTTCTTTGTTCATAGTTTTAAGTACTATAGCTGGAAGGCGAGAAGGCTACTGGTCTGATTTGCTGATAAAGGTATTGTAGCTACTGGCTGGTAGATTTGTTGTCATGATTCTTGATTGTTGTGCCTTACGTAGAACGGGCGTTATGCCTGCAAATTGCTTTCCTTTTACATCTTGTAAACATGCTTCCTTCAACTTTCTTACTGTGATCTTTGGTTGGTAGTTTCCTTCTTTTACCATGACTTCACTGTACCTCCTACAGAACTTTATTGTTTGTCTAGGATGAATCAGCCACTTGGAATTCAAGTTACTAAATTGAAACTTGTACTTTTAGGCCATATTTTGGACTGTTAGGCCACTGTGCAGTTGGCTAATGTTTATTTATTTTTTACAAGTTTTTTCTTTTCTTGCAGGTTGGAGGCAAAGTCAAATTGGATGAAAATTCTGAGTTGCAGGTGTTTATGTTGTCATAATATATGTAAATGTAAACACAAAATATTACTTTACACTAACTCTGTCGTTTTGTATTGTTAGATTGTTTCGTGTTCCCCAACCTCAGGTTCCCTTTTGCAAATTGATTTTCAAATTAGCAATGGTGGCGAATCCCTAGTTCTTCATTGGGGTGCAGTTTGTAATAGGAACAAGTATGCTGTTCACCATGAGTATAGTTTATCATCCATTTGTTGTTCCATTGTAACGCCTTGCTGACAGCCTGACATTTCTAGGGATTGGACTCTCCCTTTACGACGTCCAGATGGGACAAAAGTTTATAAAAACAAAGCTCTTAGAACTCCCTTCGTTAAAGTAAGCTTTTCTTGAAACAGGTTTAATGAATAGTAACTCTTATTTCTGCATGAAGGTTGTCTCTCCTGAGTGACTTCTATTAATGATAAAATTTTCCTCTTAACTAGTTCTTATTCTAATTGTATAATGTATACAGTCTGGTTCCAGCTCCTTACTTAAAATAGAAATCGATGACCCAGAAGTACAAGCTATTGAGTTTCTTATACTTGATGAGGCACAGAACAAATGGTATGAGATGGTCTCAGTCAATTATTTATGTCTAAAATTTTTACATGTTTATGTTAAAGCCTTTCTGGTTATACAGGTTCAAAAATAATGGCCAGAACTTCCAGGTTTTGTTGTCTGGAAACCGGGGTCAAACTCTTGGTTCCTCAATTGCGGAGAATATAAATGTTACACTTCCAGAAGATCTTGTGGAAATTCATGCATATCATAGATGGGAGAAAAATGGGAGACAGACATACACACCAAAGCAAGAAAAGGCACGTTTTTTTTTGTATTTTGTTATTAAATTATGTGTCAGCATTGAATAATTGTTTTTCTTATTTGGATCTGAGTCTTCTTGCCTGGGCTTCTACTTGTAGGTTTAGGGCATACCACAAGAGGGGGAATTGGGGTGCTAAATAAGGCACTTTAGGATTTTGTAAACTTATGCAATTCTCCCAAAGCAACTGAACACAATTAAATTAATTTAAGCATAAGTGAACAACTGCATATGATATTATTTGTAAATTTATTTAAATTATAGTTATCTAATTAAATATGTATATTAATTTAATTATTATATATATAGGGACTGTTTTATAAAAAAAGAAAACTAAAAAAGAGAAACAAACAAGAAAGAGAGAAAAAAGAAATATGGCGTGTTCTTCTTGTCCCAACATGTTATTATCTGGTGTTAAATACATTATTGATTGCCTTGCATGTGAATGTATAAAATGCAACTCTTTGAAATTTTCGGAAATCTTGTTTACACCATGTTTGGTGCAACCAACGAAACCCATGCGTGTTTTTTATAGCATGTATGGGAAAACTCATAGGTGGCATTCACGATGTAGCAAGTATGCCCTATGCGTGCTTTTCTTTATACGACATGGACAAATGTTCTATGATGCAAAGTTTCTTAGCGCTCAAGCACACCAAACATGCCTTTCTTGGCATGATGAGTTTTGAAGACCCCGATTGCGGTTTATCTAATTAACGCACACCTCTATGCAATATTCTAATATTGTTGTTAAGCTAGCAGACCCTATATGAACGATGTACTTTGCAATTATTGTAATGCTCTCACATGGAGATATTTTTCTTCTCCACATGACTTAAGTGTAATTTCTTTTTAAAAAGAGTGATGCTCACCAAGCCCATGAGGACTCCATTGGCACCAAAATATGGGCGTGTACGCTACTCATTGGAGGGCAATCATGCGATTCTATGAAGCATTAAATATTTTAAAAAAGCCTATATCTTTTTTTTTTTTAAAGAGAACTCAGTGTTAATACTGAGGATGATATTTAATATTATTAAGGGTTCAAAATGGCTTGCATTTGAACCCTTTTAAAGTTTCTCTACTTGATTGCTACTTAGGGGTGTAAACGAGTCGAGTCGAGTCGAGTTTAGACCCTTATCGAGCTCGGCTCGTTACATGGAAAGCGAGTTCGAGTCGAGCTCGTCTAATTGTAAACGAGCTCGAGCCGGCTCGACAGCCATGGGCGGAAATTTTTAAATTTATGCGGGATTTTTAAAATTTAAGCGGGATTTTTAAAACTTACATAAAATTTAAAATATATATATGAAATGTTTAACATTTAAATAAAAATTAGGTGATTATTATTATTTTTTTATATTTATATTTAATAAATAAAATAAAATTATTTTAAAAAATAGAAATATTTATTCTAGCCGGCTCGCGAGCTCACGAGCCGAGCCGGCTCAAGCTCGAGCTCGATAAGCTCGGCTCGTGAGCCCATAAACGAGTCGAGCTCGAGCCGGCTCGGCTCACTTACACCCCTATTGCTACTTGATAAAAGGGCATTGTTTTTTCACGGATTGTATGGTTTATTCACGGGATATGTATGGGTTCCTTACTATGTGCATTTCCTAGGTGTTTGTGTAATATGTGAAGTGCAATAGGTTGGGCTGTTATACTTTACATGAATATCATTCATGTGAACACAATTGTTTGAGATATTTAGATGATTGGCACTAAAGTTGTTCACATAAATGAGTTGTGTTTAATGTGCACGTCATTGTGCATTTTGGATTTATTATTGCTCATAATCTATCCGCTTGTGCATACGTTGCGAATTTATTTGTAAGTGTCACAAGCTGGGGGTCTTTCGTGGGATTTTGATTGGGCAATGATTTGCATTTGACTTGCATTTTACTTGGGTAGCCTCACGAGGAATCATTCTTCTATATATGAATAAGAGTTCATTCTAGTTCATTTCACTGAGTGTGCTCCAGGATTTCAAGTATTTTGGAGAGTTATTTAGTGCAGTTAAGAGGTTGTGTGTTCACAAGTAAATTTTCAAGTTTGTCATAGGTATTTTTAATGTTCATTTATGTGCTCAATTTTGTGTTTGGTTTTGAAACTTGTTATTCATTTGATGTGACATGTATTAAATTTTGGGTGTTTTGATATTTCATTTTTCTAAGTTTATAGTTATGTTTTTATTTTTTTGTTATGTTATTAAGTCAAGAAAGTCATTTAAATTTCGCTCTTTCTAAGTTAGGTTCATTGAAGATTTTAATATCCTCCTGGCATCTCCCTCATAGGGTGCGTCTTTGCACGCCTTTGTGTATTTGTTTGAAATTTTTTTTATTATGTTGGAACAACACACAAGAATATTTAAATTTGAATTTGAATTTCCCTGTTGTGTTGCGAAAAATGTGCACTGGGCTTACCTGTTGTGTCTCAAGTATTGCCTATGAGCTTTTCCTATCGTGCTAAGGAAAGCACACTCATGTTTATCTCGTTGCAGCAAACATGGCACAATCGGTCGAAAGCTTGAGAGTTTATAATTTTGCACACAAGGCGATGACGACAACGATAAATAGGTATCAAAATTGGTCAACGGTTCAGGTTCGGGTCCGACTCAAAATTGATCTGACATGAATTTGGTCAACCCAAGCCAGAATTGCTATAAAATTGAACCCGACCCAAATTGGACCCGCTAATCCGTTTTGATTTAATTTTTTTTAATAATTTTTAACAGTATATTTTAGATTAGTTTAAAAAAAAAACAATCATACCAACAACTAAAAAAATTAAGAAAAAATGATTTAAAGAGATTATTTCAGGTCAAAGGATTGGTGGGTCAACCCGAACCCAACCCGTTTATTAAAAGTGGTCTACTCGAACCCATATTTTTCGTGTCAGGTTAGGTTCGGGGGAGTCATTTTTTGACACCTCTAATGACACGGTGGAGTGTTGACAAGGCGAATATGCACACAAATTTTTTCTCCTTTTTTGTTTTTTTTCTCTTTTTAGATATCTAAGGGGAGAGAAAGAGAGGGAGAGAGAGAGAGAAAGAAAGAAGAGGGAAATCTATAAAGCGAGCGATAAGAGAGAGAGAAGTGAGAAGGAGATATAGAGAGATAAGATAAGGAGGGATAGAGAGAAAGAGAGAGTGATAGTGACAAAAACTATGAGGGAGTGAAAGAGAGAAGAAAGGAGAAGAGAATAAAAATAAAAATAGAGATTGATTGATGAAGAAAGAGATAGAAGAGGAGGGGTAGTGACGGTGGTTGGCGTATGGTGGGATGACGATAGTGTGGGGGAGATTGAGAAAGAGGGAGTGCAAGAATGAGATTGAGCATGTGAGAATGAGTGGGTGATTAAGCAGGGATTGGATTTTTTTTTTTTTTTATTTAGTTGATCGACCTCAAAGCGGTTATCAAGGTTAACATGAATGAATAGAAACATGGGAGTCCATTTTTATTGTTTTTTGTGCACCATTGGTGCATGAAAACATGGTTCCTTCCCAGTGAAAGCCAAAGCAATGAAATGAATTGCACTAAGATGTTACTTCATGTTCATACTCCAAAACCTTTGATTTACTGGTGGATATTGAGTAAAGTACTTGCTCGTTCACTCATCTATCCCATTTCAAATCCCGACGCCAAGAAATTTGATGATTGTAGGTGGAAGAACTTGAAATTAAGCTTCTGCCTGCTTCTTCTGTCTTTTATATATTTATGTAATGAAGTTAACTAATGTTCTCATGCTTAGCATGTCGATCTTAAAAATAAATTGGAACAAGTGTTCCGATAGATGCATGCTTTTAGTTTTCATCCTCACCTTAGAATATATATATATATATATATTTTTTTTTCCCTTACGCATATTTAATCATATAAAATTTTTCTAATTTTTCCTCTGTTGAAGTATATTGTAAAAATATACAACAGTTCAATAGCTTAAACCAGTGCTGATAATGATATTTTGTAGGAGGAATATGAAGTAGCTAGAAACGAGTTGCTTCAGGAAATTAGAAGAGGCATTTCTCTAGAGGAACTCCGTGCAACGTTGTCCAACAGACCTGAGACAGTGAAAGAGAAAGTCACTTCTGAAGTTGGAATACCAAATGATCTTGTGCAAGTACAGGCATATATACGCTGGGAGAAAGCTGGCAAACCATCCTATTCACCGGAGACACAAATTGTAAGTCCATTACTTCAGGAAAGGTCTAGTTTATAATCTATATAAATTTTTTGCTGCTTTATTTTGATATGGTTTTACTTTTAAAAATGGTTTTACTTTTATTCTTCTGATTCTAACTTGCTCTTGATTGTATAGTTGGAGTTTGAGGAAGCAAGGAAAGAACTTCAGCTGGAGCTAGAAAAAGGGACATCTGTCGATGAGATTCGGGAAAAGATAATGAAAGGAAATATAAAGAGCAAAGTATCCAAGCAACTAAAGGATAAAAAGTATTTTTCTGTAGAGAGAGTGCGACGTAAAAGTAGAGATCTTATGCAGCTAATCAATAAACACTCTGACCAACCTACACAATGGGAAACTTCTGATGTCAAAAGATCTCTAAAAGCTGTGGAACTCTGGTCAAATGATTTAGAGGAGAGATTTGATGGCTTAATTATTTCCAGAAATCTGTTTAAGCTGGAGGATATGGATATTATGGTTAGATAAAATGTTCCACGCTTTTATTTTTATTCTAATTTTTGTAGTACCCTCATAAATGCATTTTCCATGTTTCAAGGTACTAGTGGGCTATAATGAAGGTAAAATGAAGGTTTTTTTGGGCACTGATTACAAGGGATCGCTTCTTCTTCACTGGGCATTATCAGAGAAGGCTGGCGAGTGGATGGTTAAGTTTCAATCACACAGCCACCATATTTTAGGGAGAACCAGCATATGATGTGTAATAGGTGCTTGATAATGTTCTTTGCAATGCCTTGTTTTTTCACTTATTTGAGCATCAATTCATGCAGGTGCCCCCAAGCAGTTCTTTACCTCCAAATTCAGTTTTGCTAGACAAGGCATGCCAGACCCCATTTGTTCATGTATCTTCAGCAGATCCAGCTTACCAGGTATTCAAATTAACTTCAACCTTCCCTTTGCCAAAAAAAAAGGTGAAAACTTGCTAGTGCTTAATGAAATTTTGATTGAAATATATGTTTCTTTATCTCAAATAAACTATAATATTGATTCCTGTTGTACTCATATTAATCCTTGTAAAATGTTTCATTAAAAAATTTATTTGATTTCAGTTGCAACTTCTTGAGATAAATATTAATGCTGAACACTATGATGGGATGCCATTTGTCCTTTGTTCTGATGGCCACTGGATAAAGAACAACGGTTCGGACTTTTATGTCCAATTTGGTGGTCAAACTAGCAAAGGCTTGAAGGTTTGTTTCGTTACCTCTAATATATTTAATAAGTTTGATATGTAAAACTTGTCTCATGTGGCTATCTTTTCCACTTTTATTGTTTTTAAAGGATGCTGGTGATGGAAAAGGTACTGCAAAGGCCTTGCTAGACAGGATAGCTCAGATGGAGAGTGAAGCAGAAAGATCGTTTATGCATAGGTTTTTTATCTTCATATTTTCATGTTATGAGTTGAAAGTTGAAAGTTTGATGTGATGCAAGGATGAAAATTTCTGATTTTAACATGGTGGAATTTTACAGTGATGCATAGTATCTATTGTCTCTGTCCGGTTATTTGGTCTGTTGGGGTTGCCAACTTTTTACCTTTTCACCCTGATTTCTTGATAAAGTTCTAATGGTAGATTTTCAAAATTGATTGGATTCTTGATAAAGTTCTAATAGTAGATTTTCAAAATGCTACATACATAGGAAATACTAAGGGTTCAATTTCTAGCCTACAAAAATTTTTCAGGTCAAATGTTAGTTGAAGAATATTAGACCCGGTATGAAATTGTCTCTCGCTTTTTAATCTTCGTTCAAGTTTACTTAGCGTGTTCTCTCATCTTTGTTTTGAGCAGATTCAACATAGCATCAGACCTGTTACACCAAGCCAAAGATGCTGGTCAATTAGGTCTTGCTGGAATTCTTGTGTGGATGAGATTTATGGCTACAAGACAGCTTGTGTGGAACAAAAACTACAATGTGAAACCTCGGTATGTTTATTTCAGGGCTTTGGTACCCTTTTCTTCCCATCATTTCAAAAGAGAATTGCAGATAATTATTATTTCTAATTACTATTAAGTGAACCAAGAAAGTATATAGCTTTTTGCAGACACAGGGCGGTTGCTTCTCCACTTTATTTTCTTGTAATTGATTTCTTTTTAGATCTGCAAATTTAAATGGTTTTAACTAAAGGATTCCAATTGAAACATACGACTTTGGAACAATTGATGGAGTTGACTTTGTTTATTGTCAAAAACTAGAATATATATATATATATATTGGTGGATGTTGTTGTGGTGGCGGATTTGCACTCCTAAAACTAAAATATTTTTTAATTACATATCTAACATCCAATTCTTTTTATTTACTCACTTAACTCTCAAGCCTTGAAATAAAATTAAAAAGCCCACTCCCTCGTGCTCGCTAATTCCCAACTTAGTGTTTTATTTTTATCATTTGACGTATGTGAATGGGTTTTCGATAGTAAGCAATTGAGCTTGACGATGGTGTCCTTGTAGAGCTCCAAGTGGAGAAAGAGTTAAGATTTAGCTTTGAGGAATCCGATGATGTCATGGTGTTGTCAAAGGCAACACTGAAAAGATCATTAGTTAGTTTGAAGAAGATTTAATGTATAAATTTTCCATTGAGTCCAGTCCGAACATTTTATTAGATATCACAACATGCTATATGGTTTATTCTCTTATGATTTTTGTTAGTGAAGGAAAAGCTCTTATGGAGGAGGATAAATTGGTAGAAGGTGTCAGCATATTGGCATTAGAATAGGAGAAAAGTGACATGTAGTCTAGATTGGAGTTTTTTTCTTTGGTAGAGGATCAAAGTTACTGGATTGGTGGTGGAAGATTTTGAGCTTCGAGTTCATCAAAGATGATGCCATGGAGGTGGAAGCTTTAGGATCTTATTTTTGGTTGGAGTCAGAGTGATGAGAAGACTAGATTGGTTGTCTCATTTGTCTTCTGTATCGAAGACGTCACACTATACGCTGACACCATTGCTATGGGGTGTTAACCTCCACATACCCTCCAAAAATTGGTGTGAGCGAAGGCGATGAGAAGGATGTCCGACCGACATGATACTGCCTATGACTAGTTTGAAAACACCTTGACTGTGATTCACATCTTCAACATTGTCTGTTGGTGAAAAGGATTGCACCGACATGTTTCAGATGAAGAATTTATCGAGAGTCACCTTTCACGTGTAAAGAGATCGAATGAAGAGCACGACAGTGTCGGGGAGGGGGGCATGATGTCACGCAAAAATCGTCGAACATCTTCTAATATGTTAGATCTGTAAATAGATAAAATTTTAGTGTTATAAGTGTAAATTTTTCTTTCTTTGTTTTACATTCCTATGTAACTTGATAAATTATCTATTGAAATTTATTAATTTACATTGTCCCTGTTGTACATATTTTGTAGTGCACCTTTAGTCCTATTATTCTGTAAAATGCTGCTATTATTGCAGAGAGATAAGTAAAGCCCAAGATAGGCTTACAGACATCCTTCAAGATATGTACAAAAGTTTCCCTGCATATAGGGAGATCTTGAGGATCATCTTGTCTACTGTTGGTCGTGGAGGTGAAGGTGATGTAGGACAGCGCATTAGGGATGAGATCTTGGTCATTCAGGTATTTGTTTCTATAGATATATTCTTTTTGAAGGAAAAGTATTCTCTAATTGCTGCTCTTTGCCATGGCTTTTAACTTGGGGCATGTTTGGTCCACTTTTATCAATAAGATTAGGAAAATTTCATGATGTTATTTGTTTATTATAGAGGAATAATGATTGCAAAGGTGGAATGATGGAGGAATGGCATCAGAAGCTACACAATAACACTAGTCCTGATGATGTTGTAATTTGTCAGGTATTTGATGTGTGAACTTAATCTTTAGCTGTGTCCTCTTTGCATTTTTTAACATGAATATATGCTTCTTGCAGGCACTGATTGACTATGTTAACAGCAACTTTGATGTCAATGTTTACTGGAAGACTCTGAATGACAATGGCATTACGAAAGAGCGTTTATTAAGCTATGACCGAGCTATACACTCCGAACCAAAATTTAGGCCCGATCAAAAAGAAGGCCTTTTGCGTGATCTTGGAAATTACTTGAGGACTCTTAAGGTGAGCTCTAAGGATAGTTGTAGCTTTTTAAACATGTTGGTCATGCTTATTTTGCATCTTTTTTAGTTTTTGGCATATTGTGATATGACAAGCATCTGTTTACTTGTATTTCATATGTTATGTTGTTGTTTTTGGTACAACTTACACTATACTGTGCTTCCTTATAAGAAATAAAGGTTTTGGACAAAAATTTTCTTTGTAGGATGATGTTATTTTCTATGCTTTCGTTTGTTCCATGTACGTCATGAATGGGGGTGATGGCCCTTAGCTTTGGGTGATCAGTAGGGTTTATATTCCTCTGGTGGCTGTCATTCATCAGGTCCCTCCTCTCCAGTGTGGTTGTTCGCTGATTAGGACCGTGTTTTGAAGAGTATCTTTTTGTTTTTGTGGATGCCATTTGCCATCATCATCGATCTCCTAGTAAGCTCTGTAGCTTCCACTCTATCTAGCCTTGTTGGAGCTTTATCAGAGTTTTACCTTTTCAAGATTCCTGATGCTCTAAACGTCTACTCCACTTCTATCCTCCTTTTCTGTTGATAAGAAGTTCAACCCCTTGCTAGCCACGATCTTTCTTCTATTGCTATTGATTATTGCCTCGTTGACCTGAAGGATGCCTTAGTGTTTTGCGGTTTCCTTGCTTTATTTTACAGTGATGACGAGATGATTGAACTTATTAAGCCTCACATATTTACTGTGATTGGAAGATTTATTTTGCATAATCCTTTGTCTAATTATCTCATTAGATTTTTTTTTTATTTGGGCTTAAGAAGTAACTATAATATTGGGCTTTGAATTCAAACATATACTATTAGTCTAAAGTACTTCATCTAATGTTCTTCTTCCTTCTTGATTGTCCTCCATTATATAGTAACCTGACTGAAAATTTATGAACAATTAAATTTGTGGGGTATAAACGTTGTGAGAGAAAAAAAGCCTTTTCTCAAACACAGGAGAAGGTGAACCATTAACGACAATGATAGGCAAAATGTGAAAACCGGCCCGGATATAGAACCGGAAGAAGGAGACAGTGGTGGAGCCAGAACTTTTTTCGTGTAGGGGCACAAATTATAAATCTTAAAAATACTATGCCTGGCTAACAATTTTTTTTGTGTGTACTCTAATACCCATTACTTTTGATGTGAAACGTAAATGCCATTTACTTGCCTAGGTGGCAAGATTAATTAAATCCCAAATCAATTTGGGGAGAGAGAATGAAAATCTGAAATTAAATTTCAGATTAAGTGGAATTGGCAGGATGAATTTGAATTTATATTCAAATTTAATGGGGAGAATTAAATTGGATGAGAGGGAATTGTGGGAGGTAATTAGGGAGGCTTAATGAGAGGGCTATTAATGAGATAGGAGAGAGATTATGCCCAATGAGGGGGCCGGCCACTTAGAGAGAGGGAGGAGATTATTTGTCATAAGTAGAGTGGGGCCCACATTACTAATCAAAGATTTAATAAAATCTGAATTAAAATTCAGATTTTGAAAGAAAGGAAAGTTTTCAATAATGGGGCTATCAATTAGAATTAATTTGAATTTCAAATTCAAATTGACATCCAATTAATATGAAAGCCTTAAATCAAGGAACTATTTTATGAAAGTCTTCAATGCCTCTTGGAAAAAAATTTGAATTTCAAATTTGAAATTCCAAGAGGGAGGCCGGTGGCTTGGCCGTCCCAAGGAGGCCAGCGGAGCCGCCGGTGGCGGGATTGGCCTGGGGTGGCCGGCGGTGGTGGGGGCCTTAGGTAGAGAAGAAATAAATTGGGTTTAGGAGAAAGAAAATCCGGAGCTACACACCTCGAGCAACACCTCCAATAGAACTCACAAAGAGATCTACAAGCGCCACTTCCTCAAGAACTCACAAAGAGATCTTGGGAATCTCGGAGCTCACAAAGAGATCCTTCTCCCCTCAAATTTTTGTTTTTTATTTTTTATTTTAGAGGGGATAGTTTGGAATATTTTGAGTATTTTGGGTATTTTTCCTCCTCTTAAAAAATTTTTTTGCCCTCATTTTATCAATCATAAGCATCTTTGCCCACCCCCCACCCAAAAAAAAATTTTTGTCCACCCTGAAAAAAGAAGCTGGATCCGCCCCTGCTAAGAGATCAAACAAGTAGAATAAAATTTCATTATCAATTCATCATCCCATTACACAAGAAAGTACATCTATATATAGGCCTAAGAAATCGAACTGTGGTTGAATCGAATGATGCAATAAATATGAAAATTGTTAAAATAAAATTTAAATGATAGAATAATCATTTAATACTATAAAATTTTAATAAAAAATAAATTGAATTCACACATTAATAATATATTTTGTAATTTTAAATTTAAATATATTTAATTTTTAAATTTAATTCAAATTTAATAAAAATTTAGCTTATGTATAAATTTAAGGTTAGATCATGTTTAAATATAATTTACTCTTATAAATTATATATTAAATTATTGTTATAAATTTACATTTATAAATGATTAAGATTAGATCATTTATTATTAATAAATAAATAAATAAATAATTTTTATAGTACATAAATAATAAATGAAGTGCATAATTTATTTAAATTTTTTAATTAAAAATAAATGTTGTTTACATCATAAAAAGTTTTTTTTAATCTATTTTAAAATATATAGTGTATGTTGTAAACTTAAGAAGTTAAAACTTCAGCTTATTTAGTCCCGCATCACACGGGAAACTTTCTCTTGGTAATGGTTACACTTTATATTTCCTTTTGAGTTTTGATGGTATGGAGTGGAGCCATGTGAAATACTTAGTTGGAATTTATAAATTTAAAAATTAAGTATTTTAAATTTTAATTAATTTGTTAAATTATAAATATTATTTAATATTTTATTCTTGATGTATTAGATTAATTTGTTTAATTTTTTAAATATTTCAAAAAATTTGAACAAGCTAGTTCAAGGGAATCGGGACCGGTTCATCCCGGTTTGATGCAAAACCAGTCTAACCATTTTTCAGGATGAACCGGACTGGCCTTTAGACCAGTTTACGATTGAATCGATCAGACCGACTGGTCCAATTTTTAAAACCCTAATGATAGGTGGTATATTAAGAGAGGAAAATTTGAACAAGCTAGTTCAAGGGAATCGGGACCGGTTCATCCCGGTTTGATGCAAAACCAGTCTAACCATTTTTCAGGATGAACCGGACTGGCCTTTAGACCAGTTTACGATTGAATCGATCAGACCGACTGGTCCAATTTTTAAAACCCTAATGATAGGTGGTATATTAAGAGAGGATAATAAACATTAATTACCTATTATATGTGATGAGCACTAGAATATATAAAATAAATGACAGTATAACTAGAGCTGGAAATGATACAAGAGATAAAAAAAAATTGAAGTATGAGTGGCCAAAGCAGCAAATGTATAAAAAAATTATATTATTTTTTAAAAGTAGAGCATGATATTATAAAAAGTTTACTAAGTGGTTTTCACATATGATTGTTGCTTTGTCCACATGTCAATGGAAGGTTTTGCGACTTTAGTAGGCAACTTATTATGAAGATAGTTTTTAGAAGTTTGTTTTTTTTAATGTCAACATCAATCCTTAATATTCCACATGGAATTGAAGATTTTCATACCTTAATAATGCTTCACTTAAATGGTTGGGGTGTGATTTGATGGAATAACTTAGGCATCCAAGCAATTAAAAAACTGCATAAAAAAATTATACCATTCATGATTTGGGGTTGTTAGATATTTTATTCTCATTAAAAATTTGTAGGCATTACTTAAATGATTTGAAATTTAAGTTGTATACATGATACATCAATATTTGAAATATATTTTTGCTTAGAAGGAATTGAAATAAAGTCAAAGAAGATGAATTATGTTGATAATGATTATGATATGGACATTCAATATCACTTTGTAACACATATGGTAGCATATACAATAAGTAGAAAATCCACTCGACTGAGTGGTTGATTACTTTTATATTTTGTTTGATTTAAGATATGAAGAAATTAGAGCTGAAGGTAGTGAAATCAAGTAATATATATGAAGGACTACTATCTCATATGATTATGAAGCGTGTATTGTAAGAGGGAATTCAGGAAACTCAAAAAATTGATTGAGGAATATATGAAATTGATTTAGCATATTTTAAAGTAGATGATTGTAGTATAATGAAGTGTGGAGATCAACAATTTATGATTTTCCATGGGAAAATTCTGCATTAAGTTTATTATTCAGCCTATTCATCATGGAAATGATAAAATTTACCACGACTTGAAATTTATATTTTAGTGGTTCGAGTTAAATAAAGATGTAGCTAAATTTATATCCAAATGTGAATTATGTTAAATAGTGAAAGTAAATTATTAACTGCCTAGTCATTTATTGTTGCTATTGCCTATTCCAAAGTGGAAGTGGAAAGACACTGCTGTTGATTTCTTGATGGGATTTCTCAGGTCTAAGTAGGGAGATGATATTATATATGGGTGGGTCATTGTAGATTATTTAAAAAGTCTTCTTATTTTTTGCCCATGAGACATTGATTCAATTGACAAATTATCAACTATATGGAAGGAGATTGTGAGATTGCATGTAGTGCTCAAAGTGATTGTATCTAATCATGATGTCAAGTTTACTTCTAGGTTATGAAAGTGTAAACAAGAAATAGGTATAAAGTTGAATTTTAGTACAACGTTTTTTCCATAGAAAAATTGATGATCAGAGGGTTGTTGTGATGTTGGAGGATTTATTGAGGTTATGCATTCTTGATTGTTGTGGTTGTTGGAAAGTTTACATTCCTTTATTATAAATAGAGAACTTCCTTAAAAAAATGTGCTAACATGCTGGTTCAATTAGGAATAGGTATTGGCAAGAAATTAGGTTTGATGGTCTTCTCAAGTACTGTGCATTGCCAAATGCTTGTTCATTTGAAAGATTTGTTTTATTCTCTTTTTTGAGAAGAAATTGAAGGGACAATTTGCTGATGCAGATTTGCTGATGCAGTCGCAGGTGTATCCCTTGGGAACTCGGTTGATATGAGCTCTTTGGCTCTGAACCAAGATTTTAATTTGGTTATCTACCTTGTTGAATTCTTCTTTTCAACAAAATATTGCTGATATTGTTCTCACGTCTGGTATTACAACTGACCAGGATAATATTCTCATTAATTCTTAGCTGATTGTTGTTGAGATAGGGGTAAAGATGATGGTTTTTCTATAGCTCTGGTTTATGTGGTTGTAGTGAATGATTATGATGTTGCTTTTTTATGTGAGAGGTGATAATCGAGACCGTTCATTTTCTGGGGGGTTTGTGGGAGTTTTTATGGTTCCTGGCTTCTGCCTGGTGTGTCTGGAGTTTGGCCTGTCACTAAACATTTTTCATTTGGAAGTAGTTTTGTTTCCGTCTGTCATTACATGGCAACACCTTCCTTTTATGCTTCATAGAATTAATGTCAACGGCTACCATCCTGATAATATCTGTGCAGGCAGTACACTCAGGTGCTGATCTCGAATCTGCTATTGCAACTTGCTTGGGTTACAAATCTGAGGTATACTTATTTTAATGTTTTGATTTTTTTATATTTTTTTTCACTCTGTGCTTAATGTTGATTTAACTATTGTTCAGGGTCAGGGCTTTATGGTGGGGGTTCAAATAAATCCTGTAAAAGGATTGGCATCTGGGTTTCCTGTAACTCTCTTTGACATTTTCCATTAGTCTTCGATTCTCTTTGATGAACTAGCTAATATTTGTGCATTTGTCTTGTCAACTCATAAACAGGAGCTGCTGGAATTTATCCTTGATCATATTGAGGATAAAATGGTAGAACCGCTAATTGAGGTGATTATTTTACTGTCAGGCAATTTCAACGTACATAAATTCTTCTTTGTATGCTTAATGGACAATTATTTTAGAAAATGCAGCATGAAGAGGACACAATATCAAGAATTTTGTTTAGTTGGCTACTTTTTCCTTGATTTGAATACTTCAAAGCAATATTTTTTCAGGGTTTGCTGGAGGCACGAACAGAACTTCGTCCATTGCTGCTGAATTCCCATGAGCGTTTAAAGGATATCATTTTCTTGGATATTGCTCTTGATTCTACAGTTAGGACTGCAATAGAAAGGGGATACGAGGAGCTTAACAACGCAGAACCCAAGGTTTTAACCAGTTTTATTTTTAAAATTTAAACTTAGTCTTTATTTTATTTGCCTTCTTTTAGCAAGTGTTGAACATTATGGCCATTCTTCTATGACAGAAAATCATGTACTTCATCTCTCTGGTTCTTGAAAATCTTGCATTGTCTTCAGATAACAACGAGGATCTTATATACTGCATAAAGGTACTATGATTTCTTCTCGAACTTCATCTTCAAATTTTACTTGTACCGTCCCAATATGCTTTTAATCAGATAGCCTGAGCTGTTAGAGTTATTCATTTACTTTTTTCTATTGCATTATAGGAAAAGTATTCTAAAATGTTTCTTGTAAATTGGGACAGGTTTTTCCTATGAAAATTTTCTGTTAATGCAAATATGGTCATTGGGGATTGCTCAGTTTTGCCTTCTGTCTATCCGGTTCTTTTCATCTTCAAAACTAACCACTTGAACTGTGTTCAACATTTGTTATATCTTTTGCTGACTGCCTTTTAGTGAATAATTGAATGGTAATTTGAACTCTTTAGTAACTGAATGCTCATAAATTTAACTATTGAACTAGCTAGATATAGGGAAGTGACGCATTTGATTTTCCATTTTACTAGATGAAAACATTTGATTAGAGGAATTATAAATGCGTTTTATCCTTTTTTTGTGTGGAAATGATGATAATAATATTTATTCTTTTTTTAAAGTTTTTCAAGCTCTAATGGAAATGTTTCTCTTTATTACAACAAAATTGTTTCTGTTTGAATGAATAGTTGTTCAACACAATGTAATTGAAAGCATGTTTTAAGAGCCAAGCAAAGCAGTGTTTTAGCCTTGCGCATTGTTTTCAAGCGAAGTGTAAACTTTTGGCAAAGTGCGCTCTGATCCTGATGTTGCATGCTCAGGCCTGGCCCATAATGAAATCTAGTTCAAATTTTGTGGTTTAGCTCAAGATCATCCATGATAGCTTGGGCATTAATGTTCTGTTCTCCTTATTGGTTCTTATAGTTGCTTAGTCAATGTTCATTGGATCTTTGTTCTCTCTTGATAGAGCTTGTTGCTTATCGGTTGTTCTTCTCTACATACTCTCTTATTTACTTGTTTTCTTGTCCAATTTTTTGCAACTTGTTGTTTTTAATGGATTCTCACTAACAAGCTTCTTTTCAAGATTTTCTCATTGTGGCCTTTGCATGTTTTTCAATGCTTCATCTTCACTCTCTCGCCTAATATTATTTCTGCCTTTTGGTCTCTTATCGATCTCGTAGTCTCATGAGTATCCTGATTTAAGTATTAGTTCATCATCTTATTCTTATTTTCTTTAGCTTTCAAATCGATGGAAATCACTATTGAATGTATTATATTTGCTAAAAATTATTAGTTTATGTTATTAATTTTGCTTAATTAAATTGGTTATTGTATGCACATAATATATAGATATATTATATATAAGTCATGACTTATGAGTTTACTAATTGGTAAAATCATCACTTCATTTTGTACTTCATCCATTGAAGCAAGGATTATAAAAAGGAAAAAATTAATGCATTGCATTGTGCTTGATTTTTTCAAAACACTGGGCCAATAATATTGATTTGAAGGATAAAGGTAAAGACTGGCTATAAATGTGAATAAAGTGAAGTATAATTACTTTTTAAGTTCTGACTTGTTGGAGAATTGTTTACTTGTATCTATAGCTCCATTTGTCTACTATTAATCTAGTTGCTGATGATCAAAATTCTTTCTCCATTTTACTATAGATGCAAAATTAGATTTCTTTGGCTTTTGGCATAGGTATTTTTCAAGCAAAAAAGATCTTTAGGCTTAACATTTCTGCTATATATTACCATCACTTAATAGGATTAAATGGTGTTTTGCTTTTATTTCTGCAAAAGGGATGGAACCATGCGCTGGAGTTGTCCAAAAGAAATGATGATCAATGGGCATTATATGCCAAGGCATTTCTTGATAGGACCCGACTTGCTTTATCAAGCAAGGCAGAATATTTCCATCAAATTCTTCAGCCTTCAGCTGAATACCTGGGATCATTATTAGGAGTTGATCAGTGGGCTGTAAGTATGGACGCATACTAAATTTTCCAATTTTCCAATTTTCCAATTGTAATGCTAATTTGCAATGTTTGCATACTCTATAGGTTGACATATTTACTGAAGAAATAATTCGAGCTGGGTCAGCCGCATCTTTATCGGTGTTACTTAATCGGATCGATCCAATTCTTAGGAAGATGGCAAACCTTGGAAGGTCAAGTTACTTGTATCTTCACTAGATCTTTTGGATGATTTTAGCCGAATGGGAATGAACTTAGGTTTTGTTTGGGATGGCTTTCTTACTGCTTCTTAAAGTAGCTTTTTAGTACAAAATTAAAAAGTTTTGTACTAAAAAGCTGCTTTAAGAAGCAGAAAGAAAGCCGTCCCAAGCGAAGCCTTAATCTTTTCCTACTCAATTCAAAATTTATTCAGCTTCCTGATATGGTCTTGAGGTTTTAGTGCAGTTGGCAAGTCATTAGTCCTGTTGAAGCTTCTGGCTATATAGTCACTGTGAATGAGTTGCTTTCTGTCCAGAATAAATCTTATGAGCGGCCTACAATTTTGGTAGCCAAAAGTGTCAAGGGAGAAGAGGAAATTCCAGATGGCACGGTTGCTGTACTAACATCTGATATGCCAGATGTTCTTTCTCATGTCTCTGTTCGAGCAAGAAATAGCAAGGTTTGGGTGTCTTCAGCATGGGTGTGATATTTTTAAAATTTTATTTGGTTTATGAGAAATTTTTTCATTATTTATGTTATTCTTTTAGGTTTGCTTTGCCACCTGCTTTGATCCCAATATCCTGGCTGAATTTGAAAGAAATGAAGGAAAATTATTTCGCCTAAAACCTACATCTGCGGATATCATTTACAGGCAATAACATATTTTCTGGAAAAAAAAAAGAACTATTTTTTTTTCATTGTATTTTTCAGTTCTAGATAGAATTCCTTACAAAATGATTCTATCTTTATGGTTTAGTTTCAATCCTTGATCATTTCAACTGGAAGAATCATGCTTTATTTCAATTTCTTAAGCTACTTGCAAAGATAACATTGCCCATATTTTCTCTTTTATAGTGAGATAACTGAGGGTGAACAAACTGGCGCAAGTTCCAGAGATATAAGTGATGGAAGAACTCCAGCTCTGACCATACTCAGGAAAAAATTTGCTGGTAGATACGCTATAGTTGCTGAGGAGTTTACTAATGAACTGGTCTGTTCTTGTACTAATTTCTGTATTCTGAAAATAATTTTTCCTTTTGCATCCTTACCATTTCTGGATTTTCCTGAATTATTCATGATGGCTCACATGGATCTTATTTTATTTGCTTTTGCATGTCATTTGGATCTTTTTTGAAATGTTCTAGCTTTTGTCTGGTTCACCTAATCTCCTAACTGGCAAGTTGTCAATTGTACACTCAGGTTGGGGCTAAATCACGTAATATATCATATCTCAAAGGAAAAGTGCCTTCTTGGATAGGAATCCCAACATCAGTTGCTCTACCATTTGGAGTTTTTGAGAAGGTTTTGTCAGACAAAATAAATAAGGTGGGGTCTATTTTCTCTAAACTGTCTTGTTGCATTATCTCCTATTGAACTATGAAAATAGCATTAAAATCTGTTTCAACTTGGTTATTTTAGGGAATTTTCAGTTTCATTACTCAGAATATTTCTTGTATAAGTATGAAGTAGACTATAATTTCCTTGTTGTTCCTTGATACTCAGGATGTAGCTGATAATATGAATGCACTCAAGAGAAAGTTGGCAGATGGAGACTACAATGCCCTTGGTGAAATACGCAGAGCAGTTCTGCAGCTGGCACCTTCGTCTCAATTGGTATGGCAATTAGGGTTTTATTTCTTTTGCTGAAATCCTTCAAAGTATTTTGAGCATGAAATGATGGAATATATCATGATGCCCTCTTAGCTATAGGTGAATCTAGTTTCTTGAAGGTTATGATGTCTGGGCTTGGTTAAATTTATTACTGTTTGCACCCATCTGACTAATTCCTCTGAAATGCGCTCAAGAGAAAGTTTATTATGGCGATTTTTTTTTTACAGATTACAGAGCTGAAGGAGAAAATGAAGATTTCTGGAATGCCTTGGCCTGGGGATGAAAGTGAACATAGATGGGAACAAGCATGGATGGCTATCAAGAAGGTGCCATATTTTCAATTAGAATTGGTTTTCCTCCACCAAATTTCACTTGCTACATAAAATTTGTCCAAAGAACAAATTTTAAACATTGCAAAGGAAATTTTTAATTGGCGAAATGGTGATTTAGGCTTCGTTTGGGATGATTTTCTTACTGCTTCTTAAAGCAATTTTTTATACAAAAATTAAACATTTGTACTATAAAGTTGCTTTAAGAAGCTGGAAGAAAGTCGTCCCAAATGGAACCTTAGTCTTTTAGATACTATTAAGTTACAATTCGGCATCTTTATTTAAAAACATGAACAGTAACGTTAAAGGTGATATTGGTTTTCCAATAGTCAAAATTTGGTATTTTGATATTGAAAAATCATCATCTCAAGATCCACACATCAAATGCACATGAAAATTGTAATACAAAGAATTTAAAAATTTTCAAAAATTATTAGGCAATTTCCATAATTAGTATAAATACTACACTATTTATGATAAATATCAAATAAATTTGGAAAATTTCTACACTGATTTGAAAATTCATTCAATGCATTTATTAATTCATTTTGATTATTTTGAACATCACCAAATTTTCCCAAAGCAATCTGAACCATTTTTCTACATTTACTATGTCACATTGATGTAGGTTTGGGCCTCTAAGTGGAACGAGAGAGCTTATTTCAGCACTCGAAAAGTAAAGCTTGATCATGACCATCTTTGCATGGCTGTCCTTGTCCAAGAAATCATAAACGCTGACTATGCATTTGTTATCCACACTACTAACCCTTCATCTGGAGACTCATCTGAGATTTATGCTGAGGTTTGTCTATCTGTTTATAAATGAAATCAGTTCTTAAAATCACTTTTGTAATGAGGCTTTTGCAGGTGGTAAAAGGGTTAGGTGAAACTCTAGTGGGCGCCTATCCCGGCCGCGCTCTTAGCTTTGTTTGTAGCAAAAATGATCTCAATTCTCCTAAGGTATGCTTTGATTCTGATTTAATAGTTTTGTTTTCTTCTTTCTCCCAGTTGTGAAACTTCATATTTTTTCTACTTTACAGGTTCTTGGTTTTCCGAGTAAACCTATTGGCCTCTTCATTAAAAAGTCTATTATATTCAGATCCGATTCTAATGGTGAAGATTTAGAAGGCTATGCTGGTGCAGGCTTGTATGATAGGTAAGTTATACCATCCTAAAATTGTTTTGCGGAATAGCATATCTGGTTCACATGCATCCTATCCTATGACTTTCAATGTGGAACTATACATGATTAATGTTAGAGTAACTTGTCACAGTATGTTTTATTGGTTTTGATTGGTATCTTTCACTTATTTCTCATCTACCAATGTGTGATTCAACACCTAGAATGTTCTATTTTAACCAACTAGTCTCTTACCAGTGCAATTGTGTGAATCATTTTGGACAATTTTCACATAACTGGACGGGGTCTAACAGGTGATCAGGAATGCCTGTGGCCCAGATCCGTGACCTTATTGCACTTTGAAGGGGCGCTGGTCTATCATCCGCCCAAGTGGTAGAGTAGACGTCATAATTTATGATATAAAGGCCACGCAAATGCGAACCCCCCATCCAGGAATGGGAAGTAATGTCAAAATTTTCTTATTTACATATCTAGCACCCCACTAAAAATGAACTAGCAAGTCAGAGAGAACTGGATTACTGATTTACATGAGCTTAGCAATAAATTAAGGGAAAAAAGAACCTCATTTCTTACTGTCAGGTAGTGTGGATTATTGGAGGGCTACATAGTCAACCACCACAAGTTTAAAATGTTTATTACTAGTAGAAATACATTGATATATCTTACAATTATTTGATACAGGATAAACCAGATTTTTGGTGTCTGACTAACTAAAACTTGCAGCGTTCCAATGGATGAGGAAGAGGCTATAGTGCTGGACTACACATCTGATCCTCTCATAATGGATGGAAGCTTCCAGAAGTCGATATTGTCGAGCATCGCCCGAGCAGGCGGCGCAATTGAAGAGCTTTATGGATCTCCACAAGACATTGAGGGAGTTGTTAAAGATGGCAAGATTTTTGTGGTGCAAACGAGACCACAGATTTGATTCAAGTATTTGAAGGTGTTTGTTCTCTGCTGTAATCTCACTATGCAATGCAATAAGCAGTAATAGTTATATCAGCATTACATAAAGGAAAATTATAGATGAAAAGGGAAGAAGGTTGCAGAATTTTTTTTGAATTCTGTAAATTGCAAGAACTTTAGACATTTTTAAAAGGTCTATTGGTTCTTTTGTATGTGTGGGATTTGTCATTTTGTAAGTGATTTGCTCTGAAATTTGTCCAGGTTCAAATAATGAAATAAATGGCCACTCTTGCTACCTCATCAGACTCACCTGTAGAAAATAATTTCTAAGTGTGGTTTATATTGTCTTTTTGTGAATTTCAATCATAATGTCTCTCATTTCTTACATGTTTATTTATTATCTTACACGTAGTGGGATAAAGGCTTGATGTTGTTGTAGATTATCCCTAATTTTTAAACTCAGAAGTCCTAAGTGGTATGATATGCGATGGTTGAGGTGGGAGGTCATTGTAGATCATGACCTCTCCTCTTTGGCTATCGCACTAGGGATGTGCGTCTTAGGCTTCGTTTGGGATGACTTTTTTAGTGCTTCTTAAAACAGCTTTTCAGTATAAAAATCAAATTTTTTTACTAAAAAGTTATTTTAAGAAGCAACAAGAAAGATATCTCAAACGAAGCCTTAATCGAAGCACACATTGCTTAATATATCTGAGATGAGGAGATTGTTATCGTGACTAAATCCGTTGAAATTAAATTGAAGAAACTAAGAGTAATATCGTCACTTTCATCGTAGTTGTTGATGCATCATTGAAACATACAAGTAGTTTAAAGAAAAAACGTTAAGATGTTGATTTGATTGGATTATCGATCATACAAAACCAATTGATATTTGGAAAAAGCTTGAATGTTCTATCATGCAATTTGACTTCCATTTCTTCTCTCGAGGAAGAAAATGGAATGAATTAGCTTCCTCTAGAAGTTCTTGTGATGAATATTCAAATTTCAAGCATTGCTATAGAACAATTCTATTGCCAAAGTCTTAGTAATGTGATTGGAAGAACAAAAAATAGGATGTTAGATCAATGATTAGAGATGAAATATACTTAAAAAAGCATTAGGATTTTATTTCACTTCATTTGCATTAATTCTTCTATAATCAAAACGGAGCCTTAGTTTTTATTTGGCATAATTTTCTTATTGTTTTTAAAATAATTTTTTAGTATAAAATTTTTAAATTAAAAAAAATTATATTAAAAAGTTATTTTAGAAATTAATTAGAAAGTTATTCCAAAGAAAGCTTCATGTTTTGTTTGGAACAACTATCTTATTGTTTCTTAAAATAACCTTTTAGATCAAAAGTTAAAATTTGTGAACTGAAAAATTATTTAAAAAGCAATAAGAAAGCAGTCCCTAACAAAGCCTCTCTCAAAATTGAAGCTATCTTTAGTTGATTAGCTACATCAATCTTTTGGTAAATACTTATGGGGATGCAACAAATAGAAGCTTTGGGTAAAATTAAAATTAATTATTAAGATTATATGAAATTAAAATTGGTTAAAATTGTGTTAATCATATTTATAATTTAAGAATGAAGAGTCGATAAATAAATAATTTGAATTATGTAATTGAATAATTTCAATTGAGTGAAGAAAGCTTCACTTTGTCCTAAGATCCTATGAATAAAACATGATAAATAGATCAATAGATTAATTTAGTGAATAAAACATAATTTGAATTATGTAATTGAATAATTTCAACTATATCTTCGGACTCTGCACAGAATAATTTATTCTTTATTGGAATGTTTGCTTGTCATCTTATGCTTCTATTTGAAATATTAGACATAAATTTTTAACATTCAAATCATAATAAAATATACAATAGTCATTAATTAGGTGAATCTAATTTCTACATTTTTTATTTCTTTTCCCCTCTATTCATTTGATCACTCTTACAACAGTAAGATGAGATAAAATTGAAGGGCTGAATGACCGAATTTGCTACAGATTTGACAGTCTACACACATGCAGATATGCCCGAGGAGCTCCACGATCTGGTCCAAAAAGCATAAGGCTAGACAGGCAGAAAAAAGACTAGACGTAGCTCTACTTCCAGAGGCGAATCAAGTGCAGCCACGTCAGCAGTACCGAGCCACGGTACACAATAAAGGAGTGAAATGGGACATTCTGATTGGTCTCCATCCGCACAGAATAATTAATCAAGCAGCATAATGGTAGGAGCCATGGCCTCTAGTGAGCAGCAAGAGCAGAGAAAGACTCAGATGAACCAGTGAGAAGTTTAGAATGAACAGAATCAGTCACAATGTTAAGATCCTTTTGCTGTATAATACAACATATAGATCATCTAAGTTGATCAGATGGGGTTTGGTACAATTAATCCGAATATAAACCATTGAGTTTATACAAAATGACATCAATGTGCGAACCAGCCACAATAACATCAACTTTTTGCTTAATTTCAAACAGTTATTGTATTAAAACTTGCATTTGAAGTTCATCTAATATTTGTTTGGGGAGAAATTATTCTGTGCAGAGACCGGACGTAGAACATCGTCCTGAGACTATCAGAATGTTATATCGAACCGTAGTACAGAGCAGTACCGAGCACAGGGGTGACGTAGAGGCATAGAGCATTCTGATTGATCTCTGAACTGTGTTTGGCATCCGCACAAAATAATTAATCATGTTTGGGATGACTGCAATAGTTTGTAAAGTTGATTATGAAGTTACAGAAAGCAATTTTTTTACTAAAAATTTTAAAAAGCATTGAGAAAGCAACAAAACAAAACAGTGGTAGTTAAATGAAATTGTAGGCGTTGTGTATGAAGAAAGCTGTCCCAATCAGATCCGTAGTTCATTTTTCAATTGAGATGGAATAATATGAGATGGATTTGAGGATTGGAGGCGACGTTCAACAGTGAGCTACATGCCACGACAAGAGTATATGGAGAACATAGGGAATTAGAGAATGAGCAATTCTAGCAGCATCAAGGTTTTGATCGATAAGCCTCTATGCGTGAAAATGAGAGTTAACAGCAACAGTACCATCTCCTAAGAGTTGAGGTTTTGAGGTAGAATCATCAAGATAGTCATCAAAATCAATTGCAAAAAAGAATTTTAAGATTTGAGACCTCCAAATAGGGCGATTATCCGTGTCCAGTTGATCACTTATTACAGATTTTACATTAATCACTAGTAATTTGAATTGAGGAGGTATAGAAGCACTGAAACAGAAGAAGAAGATGACGACATTGCAATTTATGGATATACAGAGTTTGTTATGCAAAACAGTTGAAAGCAAACGGCATGGATGAACAGCAGCAGATAAGTAAGGATGCGGTTCCGCAGGTGCCGGAGAACGAGGAGAGCAGCGCACCTGTAATAGATATATCTTATCTCTTGAAATAATCACATCGGTCGCGACCTTTGGCCACCGCCCATTCGCCGCGACTCGTCGGCGAACCTCCTCTTCTCTCTGATAAGTGATAACATTAAATATTAACCGTCGCCTGTTTCGGCTTCCTCCTCTCTCTCCTTCCTGCCCATTAGCCCTCTTTCTTCTCCGCCATGGACGCCGCCATTGCTGCGTTAACTTCCCTAGGGTTTTCTGCAGATGATATACGCGATACCATTTATGAAATCCTTCAGGTTCTGTATTTATTATATATATATTGTAAATATTTTTGGCCTTCGATATTATGGGAAGGATTACATGCAGGACCTTTTTAATATACTTATTTACAAAATTAACACTTTTTTTTTTTGCTTATATATTACACACATCTTAAAGTAAATCTAATATATTATCATGACCAAAATTCTCTCATGATATTCTATTTTTTTATTTGTTTTCGCTCATTCCTTCGCATGATTTTGCATTGTAGGCATATGATAATGATGCAATTATAGGGTGGCGTTTCATTCGGGAATGTAATTACAAGATGGTCGTCAACATGCTGCAGTACAAGAAAATGAAGGAGAAACAAGCGAAAAGCAAGCACGAAAAAAAATATGCTTCTTATAGCACCGAAGAATTCAATTATGCTCCGACTAAGTGCTATGGCATGAATAGTGATGAGGAGGACGACGAGGCTTGAGGAGGAACTCTTTAATTATCTACTATTTCAAATATGAACATATATGGAACAACATGGTTTCTATATTTTCTTATAAAAGACATAATTTTGGCAGTATAAGAAATTCTTGTCGGTATTTTGCATGTTGCATGTGAGGAGCAACGGTTATTTTCTTACATTACTATTTGATAGGCCTCTAAATAGAATAACTCGGTTTGCTTACTTACATTTATTATTTAGATATTATAAGTAAGGATGGTGAAGGAATCACACATAGATTATAGTATTATAGGGATTCTTATGTGGATTAGGCATGGGATGATTGCCTTGCATCCTTTGATATCCAAAAAGAAATCAAAATAAGGCAGAGTGATGGAAATTATGTTAGTTTGGGGAGATAATGCGTCGTATGTGCATAAAAGGAATATTTTATTGGACTGCTAATCTCATCACATGACTACCTATTCTTTAAGCTTACACAGCGTAAGGTTTCCTAGAAAGAAGCACGAGCGTCACACGATATTCATTTAGAATACACAAATTCAACTGGAGCCTGTCTGAGCCCTCCGGGGGTCACGGGCGGAAATTCCTCTGTTTTTCTTCACAAATTTGAAAGTAGTCTTGTACTGATCTTCTCTTTCCTGGACAGACTAAAGGTAGAATGGGCCTCTGTGCTTTACTATTACTCCCCTATCAGCTCGGATTTTAGGTTTTCAAGAGATCATATTTTTTAGGTATTAAATATTCATATATGTGAGTTTGTGATTAAATTCATGTATGACAGTCTCAACGTATTCTAATGACCTTTTGCACACGTGTAGATAATGTGTAATGTGTGCATAATTGAATTTTGTTGATTCATAGTAATATAAAATTGCAGCCTGCCTTAACCCTATTAGTTGATATTTTAGGTCAAAAGTAAGTGAAGATAATGCACAATATGTGCATAGTTGAATTGTACTGATTCATGAGAGCTAAAGAATGTAGCTTAAAGGTATATTTTTGAGGTTTTTTATGTTCATATATATGAGTTTGTGATTAAATTCATTCAAAGTCCTTAAAACCACAAAATTTATTCATAATCTATGAGTCTGATCATTTAGTCATTTTATCATATGACAATTTTAATACGGCTCCATTCTATTATGCATAATAGTTATTCATTGTGACATAAAATGCTTAAAATTGTGAGATATTGTCCATCTAAAGTAATTTATTTTATTTATAGTAATAGTTTTTAAAATACATTAAGAGTTTCCTTGGGACA